TTCTTACCCCCCCGCCCCCCCCCCCGCCCCAGAAGAGACGATCAGAGTATTGCAATAATGACCTACAAACAGCTAGTTTGTGGGAAGCACATGTGCATATTTCACATTTTCTTTGCCAACACAGCTGAGAAGAGACCTGAGAAGTGACCTAATTTATTTCAATAATGTGAAACTGACCAATATAACTTCTCCCAGCGTCGAGATGTGGTGATTTAATAAATCAATTGCCGATTTCTAGTTGGAGATCAACTTTGGTACACGCCTTATCGAACCAAGATAATATTTTGCCCATAAAAAGTAGTTTTATAGAATTCAACGGATAGGGACATTGGATCTAGGCAAACTAATTCCATAAGATTATCAGATAATCGAGATTCCAATCTTTGTCAAATATGGAAATATTACTTTAACGTGAGAGAGAAATTGTTAATGAAATATTGACCTACTTGAGTAGAAAACATTTTTATTACATGTGCTTCTTATATCGTGATCCTAAACATTGCATTTTGCGGCCTTAGCTTATTTGCATATCTCAAGGTCATAATTAGATCGGCATTGCCTAACCCTATAGCCTTCCTATTCTCTTTTCTAACCGAGAAAGTTAGAACACAAAGTTTGTAGAGATGAGAAATCAAAAAGAAACCTAATTCTAGAACCATTGATTCAGAAAATGGCGATTGAATATTGAAGAAATACGAGAATTTCTCTTGCAATGCTGCTAATTCATTGGGACAGGAGCCAGAAGAGACAGTAGCCAAATAATGATGGAATTTAAAGAACAAATGAAAAGCTGAAGCCGTAAAAGGGACGAATATTCATGAAAGTCGACTTTTTTTGCGCAGTCAACAACCTACGAAAAACTGCATAGGAACGACCTCACCACAAATACACTTTCGAATACACACACACACGCACAGCTGATCAAAGTTCATTCTCAATTAGCCTCCAAATAAGTTGCAATCGACTTGGGCAAAACCTTCCCAACCAAACTACCATTATACAGTCCTATTCAAGTTCGTCAATCCTGAAGAAATTAAGAATCATAAGCACAATTTGAATGAATTACTGGACTGGGGGGGGGGGTGTGCGATAGACTTACCTCTACGTGGTGCTCCCTGGGCAACGTATATTCATACGGCAAAAAAGTTTATTAACCGGCAGTTGACTTCTCACTTCAAACTACCACCACCTCACTCTATGCCATATTCGACCCCTTCCACAGCGCTCATCTTACATCTTCTCTGCCTTTGTGTCTGTCTATCTCTTTTACATCTTTGAATCACTCTTCTGTTCCCCTTCTCGAATTTTCTCACTTTGATGTTCCTCCTTCCCTACGTGAAGCTCGAAGTCAGCTAAAGGGCTAATGATAATTATCAAAATGCCTGCCATTTGACACAAATATATGATAATGGACTGTCTTTGCTTTTGCCAGATGCCCACCACCTAGCTACAGAACACAAAAGGCAATTTTTGCGTGAAGATGGTAAATTAACTCATTCAGATGTGGAGAAGTAGAACGCAAAGAATTATCTGGTTAACAGAATTGACAAAACCGCCAACACACACATGTCAATACTCGATAGTCAGGCTTAAACACAAGGGATGAAGACTGAGATCTTCGATCAAGCGTATCAAAAATACTCGAAACCACCACATAATGAAACGCATTCAAACTCATCTTATGAGCCTGGCAATTAACCTAGTGACGCAAATTATTCATTGAAAGGCGGCTAAATGAATGCCATAATCGAATTAGGAGTTAAAGTTGATATTTATAGAAAATTTGAAGTATTATTAACGCAGACTCTGCTATAGCAACTAAGGGACCAGAGAGAGAGAGAAAAAAGTTTCATCAGAAGAAAAAACAGTGAACAAAATGACAGAGAAAGACGGAGGTTATTAAGCCAGCTTACAAAAAAAACTCAATAGATAATGGAAACAAAAGTAGTTAGCCTCAGCAAAAAAGGAGAGAGAGAGTGGAGAAAACGCGTGGATAAGCGGGTATACGTCGAAGTGAAGAAAGCAAGTTAGGGTATACAAAACTCTTACTTCACCTGAATTCGCACCAGTGATAGGACTCCAGAAATTGGCTCTTGCGTTCATGAGTGGTTAGAATTAGGTGAAAGGAAAGGTTTGGAAAAGACCTTCCCATTCCTAGGACCAAAGAGAGTTCTCAATCGTTTCAATGCAGCCAAACAGAATAGTGCTGCTGGAAGAAGCTCATTATAATCAAGGCTGGACGAAATATTGAACAATTTTTGACCAACACCACACCCCGGGTGCCTGTGGGTGAGAATGTTTTGAAGGGAAACAGCCCTAATCGGGAATGTACTTATATATAACCCGAAATAGCGCACGACCTAAATCATTGCAATTCAGTAAATGTTTAAAGCGATTAATAATTAGTGAATCGCCCAAGTTCACATTCGAGAAGACGATATTTGAACGGGTAATAATTGAAAATAACAGGCTCCTGTAAATTAATATCTGAGCCGTTATTGCTTAGTACGACTGGCATTACCATTAATCACTTTATTTCAATGTATTAATGAATTTTTAATATCAAAAAAGGGCTCAGTTTCTTGCCCCCTAACTTACATTGAATTCTCGAGATAGTATGAATGCTTCCGTCGATAAAATTGGAGAAGGCAATCATTCTTCTACTTATTTTAAAATTATTTTAATGCACAATAAAACGAAACGCAATTAATCTACACACACACAATCATAAAAGTGAAAAGTACATATACATATATTATTTAATAAATATAATTGTGTGAATGGCAAGAGCGTAATAACTGTGGCTAGAATAAAACGCGTCATTTTACATGTGTATGATCCCACAACATCCTGAGACAATGGGACACGACACCACGGCACTGAATCTAAATAAAACCACCCAAGTCCAATAAAAATTTGAAAATTTATTGCAATCACTCTGATGAGAAATACACACTCCCCACCTCTCCCCCTCCCCCCCCCCACTCGTCTCCTCTATTAATGGACGTGCTTCGAGGAGAATCAATCCAATGACCTCTGGGGGGGGGGAGGTGGGTTCTACGAGGCCACATCGACCGTTGGCACTGTATGCCGAAAAAAACTAGAAGGCACACAGAAGCTAATCTAATCGCCAATGGTATAATCACATTGCAGTCTTTTGGGGCGAGGGATGGAAATATTTCCTCAAATAATTAAAATATATAGGAAACAGGGCACCGAAAAGCTATCCAAGCTGGTTCAAATACTGTGCAACTAGGTAGAAAGTGACATTTGCACAGAAATCGTTCTTAAATCATATCAAAGTACATCTAGCAGAGTGGGAGAGATAAACGAATAAGTGCGCACAAAATGGCTGTGTCAATGTACAGGTTTGGGAAGGAGAAATCAAAAGATTAAGCAATTTTCCGTTTACTCAAATGCGCTAAAAATGAGCTAGATGGATTTCGAATAGGGTAACACTACTACTTTTCGGAGGGACCTTAGTCACACTAGAGCAAAAAAATGCAGGATTTGCCTAGAAAGTGGATCGAGGTATAGGAGGTTATTCAACGTGTAAGTGTGTACACAGAGCGACTTTTCACGTTAAACGACTCGTGCGCTTTCCGGTCGAAATGGTCAGTCAGCCAGTCAGCCAGCCCCCCCCCCCCCTCCACATGCGCTGGAACGCCAGGGGAACTGAGGGGAGGAGGGATTGAGATAGCCAATGGGAGTGGGCGTTAGTGCCAATGTACAAGGTCACGCAGGCATGGTATCTACACTCGCGGTGGGTGCAGGAAATACTTCACCCAGTGCCTTTGCCCAGTGCCACTGGCTCCAAATACCTTTGTCTCTTTAAATCCCCCCATCGATCCACACAATCGATGGAACAATAAGCTTGCGTTCAAAACGCGTTAAATGACAAATTCTTTTCTCCTAATTTCTCGAGCGAATCCTAAAATATAAAACTGTTGTTAGTGTTGAATATGATTCACTAGGCAAAATTGTAGATAAACATGAGAAAGGAAAAATCTGAGTGTAATAAAAGAAGTTTAAGAAATCTGCTCTTTATCAGATCCGGACAAATAATGGTGAAGGAAACGGGAATAAAGAATCGGAACACGAAAAGGATTATATCTTCAAGCGCAGGGAATGTCATGATAAAGACGATCAATCAGCAGACAACAAAGTCAGCCTATCAACTTTATTTTTGGAGGCACTAAGGTTTGCATATACTCATAAGGACTTGAATACCGGATACGTTAACGATATTTGAAGCTTTGTGGCGAGCTGTTTAGGCTAACTAGATTCATTTTAACCTCGTTCAAGTTAGGAGCAAGTTGGATTTGACCAGCGTCAAGATACTAAACCCCATCAAAAGTTGTCACTTTGACTCTGGAGTCTTATAAGAAAGGCACATGGGTCGATTGGTGAAGCAAATATGAACGGAAATGGCGTCAAATAAGAAATCGAGAAGTCGTGTAGAAAACTAAGTAGTACTTGAAAATTACTACAAGACGGAAATTGGTTAATATAATATATTATATCCTCATGAACCTCAACTTCTTGAGTTGAAAAAAAGCAGACAGAATAGTCAGTCTGGTATTTTACAATTTGTATTTAGAGCAGAAAGTGGACAACATGGCTTGTGATAACACCCCCAAAAACGGGTGTAATTACTGATCCACATCTCGATTTGCATAGATAAGACAAATAGCAAGGAAAATCTACTTCAAGAAGCCAAACCAAATACACAAGACAGACTGGCATGGATTTCAAAAAAAGATAAATCAAATAAGTCAAGAACATGGGCAAAAACAGAAAAGAACTCACCGAAAATCGGTTGGTTGGAGAATATTTGCGGAAAGTTTATTTGAGCAGGAGGGGGTTGAGATAGTTGAACCGATTGAGTGGAAGAAGGTTGAGGGGATGTAACCATAGTAACTGAAGCGGGAGTTTGTTGGGTGGCTGGAGTTGAAATAAGGAAGCATTGCTGCTGAGGATGGGGAGGTCGGGATTGAGCAGCAGCCAAAACCGTACCGAAGATCTGCTGCTGACTTACATTTGTCTGTTGTTGTTGTTGTTCATTTGTATTTTGAGCAATTTTATGCGGTGGGCAGCCTTTCAGCTGACAAATCTCCTGACCAACTTTGCGGTGAACCTGGGCTGCATCCTCCAGATTCAGCAATTCCGCTTGTTGAACCTCTCTAGCTCGGTGTTTTGGAAGACGTTCAGTAGGAGTTGGCTTATCCGCTCTAAGGCTAGGAGAATTCGAACTCGAAGCTGATGAAGGTCGGTAATTATGAAAGACAAGGGAACCATAACGACTAATGACTGTCTCATCTTTTAGAGACCGGCTTGGAGTTTTTGACTTCCCACCTCCAAAGACAGAATTTCGCGAGGAATTTTTCGAGAAATCCGACGGAGGAGGAGGTGGAGAAGGAGGGTTCATAACAGATTCGTTTTCCGGAACCGTATATAATTGAATAGGAGAAGTAGAGGCAACTCTGGGATAAGGGATAGACCCTCCACGGATTAAATTTGCTACACCAGGATCGACCTATATTTAAGCAAAATTAATAAACTCTACTTCACAAACAAACCTGGAGAACACCCTTCTCAACTAATTCCAAACTTCCGGGCCGGCGTTCAAGCTTGCTATTTAAGGATTCACATAACTGGTTCTTTGTTAAAGCATGGCAACGTTCCTGGATAAACGCAGAAGTGCCCGTTTCATCAGCTAAAAATATAAATTTAACAAAATCGCAGCGCAAAATTACGTTTCAAAATTCGATGATTAATTAAAACTTGTTTATCTGGACGTTTTTCAATTTTGCGTTTCAGCATATCAGCAGTCTAAGAGTTTTATAAACATTAAATATGAAAGCATTACCTTTTGCCGCTGTAACTGCTTAACCTTAACCGGGTTACATATTGTCGCTAAATTTTAAATACAAAATAAAATCAACGTCTTACGATTGAGCAAAATTCCTTGATTTACGAGATCCTTAACAGATCTTCGACATTGAAGGCCTCTCTCAAGGGCTAGAAAAGTATGAATAAACTAAGAGAAATCAATCAAACCTTCTTGATTTCGACGTCGATTATTTTGCAAAGACATTACCTCGGTACAAGATCGAGGACTAGGTGGCTTCCGCTGAGGACTTTCGGGATTCATTTTTAATCTAACCTGTAGCAGTAAGAAAGCTATATTTTACAAATATCTTAATAGGATTTGTGAAGCCAGACACAAAGTAACATCGAACTAGCGCGGAAACACCAATTCAAAATAGACAAGTTACGATGATTTGTGCAAACAAGGTTACATTTTTACGTTCATTGTTCAAAGCTTACATTTTTCCTTGTTTATCGTATAATTACATTGTTTTATTTTCTATGAAATTTTTATTTATTAATATTTATTATTTTTATATAATAGGAAAATAAATTTGAGAACCAAATGAGTCTTTGAATTAATTTGTTGTACAACAACTTTCAGTGAATATCTTTTACCAAAAATTCATGAGAATCGTCCCTTATAATAGAACTATGAAATAATAAGTACCCCTTACAACAGTCGATTATGACCATTGGATCTTCATAATTTCAATTAGATATGTGAAATAAAAGTTACTATATTTAACTAGTAAACCGTGATTTTCAATATCATGCACATTTGTAGGTTTGTTTTTAACCTAGATTTGACATGCTTATTAATATAAGTTTGGCAAAGTAGAAGCCAATATGAAAAGATCTCATCAAAATTCTCGAAGCATGCGCTTGTTGCTATTTTAGTCGATTAAGTTAGTAGGAAGCGATTTTGAAGAGATTAGCAACAAATTATGCAATAATATTTTAAAGCTATTTATATTTATATTTACATGGAAATTAAATTGTCGTTACTTATGATACGAGAACATTTAATACGATAATTTAAATGACTCATTTCGGTAGATCGGTTCTGAGGTAATCTTGACGCCGCCCCAATTTATTGATAAAGTGGAGTTGTGTTCTGAACACTTCTTTTTCATTCGCCAGCCATGTGTCGCCACAGAAGTCTCTGTTTGATTAATATAATCTATTTTACTACCTATTTGAACACACAACAAAAGAGGGCCAATCAATCGCTTCTAATAGCCACGGGATGTGGAGGTGACCCTTTAGGCATTCCCGATGCTGTCTAATAAACATGATATAAACCGGATCTTTCGGCCAAACCACTTTGGAAAGTGATTGGCTGACTATCCTAACTGCAATTTATATAAAAAACTATCTTTCGTATTGCTGTTTTCCTAGCCGCCTTATTTGAATTTGATAAATGAATAGTAGTCTTATGCACCGAACATGTTGAGTTGGCTGGCTGATTAATTGCTTTGACAACTTTCTTTTAGCATGCTCTGCCGGCTTGTCCCTTCTCTCTGCGTCAATTTCCTCTGCTTGGCCCATCTGGATAGCCATGTTCTTCAGAACTCCACTCTACTCTCCTCCGCAATCGCATCCAACTTTACGACTTCAGGTCTCCCTCTTGAAAGCCTCGTCACCAGGTCAGTAGTCTACGAGACAGCCTTCACTAAATTCATGGGCCATCTGGATGTTGTTCCCTCCATCGCGAATGGCTTTAACGCCTACTTCCCGATGGTGGTTGTCGTCCTTTGTTTGGTGACTTTCTTCAGTCTGGGAAGTCGATTACTGGCATGGTTTGGTATGCCCCAACTCCTGGGACCGAGTTTCATTGATAAGTGAAGTCGATCAGTGGGAGAAGCGTCTCCTGTTGAAGACGTCATCGAGGATGGGTGGACGCTGCTCTATCGAGGTAAAAAATGAGAGATAAAACATTTTTTCACTGAATTTTTACATTCTATTAGAGAGCAAGCCATGTGATGAAGAAAACAGAGTCGTTATCCTATTGCACCTACTTTTGTTTGCGAAGTTAGTTATATATTTATACCCTGGCGTGCTTTTGAGCACCTCACTACCCACTCATCTTAACTAGGGGATGTTTGTCTACTCATTGATATGTCGTGGCCTTGGTGGGTTATTAGAACTAATTCAGTCCCATTCTTGACTTTATCTAACCGAAGTTGGTCCACAGCTTCTTTTTTGTGAAAATTCATGCTATGGTTTAAGAATTTCATATCTGGCGGTTTGTAGCAGTTTAAAAAAGATTGGATTCATTGCATGAAGCCCTATTAGGAATCGATTAAAAGTTGGCTTAATCCTATCACTTCCAAGCAGCCGTCGGCATTAAATCGTAGAGTCTATTCACTTTCGCAATACACACGGGGCAATCTTAGTCAAGTGATTACTGTCTAGACATGCCCCCACCCCCTCAACCCCTCCCCCTCCCCTTCTCCATCAGAATTCACCTATAAATAGCGCAATAAAGCGACTTTTGATCAACTGCGCATTTGTCTACAATTATCTCCTCCCTGAGCATAAGTGAACTGTAGCAAAGCAATATCTAGTTGGCGAATGCTTCAAAGCAGAAAAAATTGATATTCCAGAAGCAGTGGAGATTAAAAAAGGTCGCACGGTTCAAAAATTAGCCAGTAGGGAAAAATGCTGTGATAACAATTGTTGCCGCCTATAGCAGGTTTTAAATAAACGGTAAACCAAATTCATGCCGGGGTTAGTTACTGCAATCCTTTGGAAAAAGAATTTGGAAATTGAGAGCTTTCGATGTGATAAATGAGTCAGATTTGAAGAAAAATGGAGCAAACATAAGCAAACTTATCACCAATGCCCCGCTCCTATGTCCCAAGAAAATTCAATAAGCGAAATTTAAGGCAATCATCCTTAAACGGTGTATTTTACACTTTTAAATTAAAAAAAACAAAAGAAATTCTAATGTAATTATTGAAAAAATTTCGAAAATGAAAAATTAATCGGAGTCAATCGTTTTGAATGGAATAATGGGAGATTTCAAGGTTATTGCAAAATCGATAACTGTCTGTAGACGTCTCTCATCAATTTGCGGATGTCTATTGAAGGTGTATGAAAGTTGGACCAACATTAATCTTGAAATCGTGATGCCCGGTTCTTGAATCTGTCAACTTAAAATAAATTATTCCAGGCACCATTATCTGAGTATGCTTGATCTCCGTCTTTCCGTAAAATGAATTTAAATTATATCCTTGTAGGTGCAGCTGCTAAAATATTTATTTATTTATTTAAGATGGCAGGCGTTTTGATAATTATCATTAGCACCTTAGCTGACTTCGGGCTTCACAGAGGGGAGACACATCAAAGTGGGGAAAATTCGAGAGGAGGTGCAGAAGAGTGATTCACAGATGTACGAGAGACAGATAGACAGATAAAAGGTAGAGGAAAAGTAAGATGAGTACTGTGAAAGTGGTAGAATATGACATAGTGTCGGGTCATAGTAGTTAGAAGTCAACTGCCAGTTAATAGACTTTTTGTCGTATGAGTATACGTTGCCCAGGGTGCACCACGTGGGGGTAAGTCTATCGCACACCCCGCTACCAAGCTATGATCAAACACCTGTGCTCCGTGTGGCACACTTAAAGCTAATGCATAACACACGACACCATCATGTTTGACCAAAGTACCATCGAGTGCTAGAGAAAAGTGCATTTATATGTGGAGAGGGTTTATCAGCCAATCAGCGGCTAATATTCACTTAATATTGAGTCAAATATATTCATACCTTGACACGGTCTACAGTTGGTCAATAATATGCTAAATCCTCCTTTGTTCTGGCTAGATACTTTGGCATGCAAGATTTACAATAGAGAACTCTACTTGAGGTTCGGCATACTTAACTGCAGAGAGTTAGACTTCTAAGTGGATTATCGCGGCTTAGTAAAGTGCTTATTTGAGTAGTATTCACTATATAACAAATTCACAAGTGATCTCATTCAACTACCTTTTGATTACCATAATAGAAAATAATCATCCATTAAGTTAAACCCCCAAGATTTTTTTTAAACTTCCTTGCAAAAGTCTCAATCTCTACTACTCTTGGTGAAATTTTGGCCTTTTTAAGCATTGAGGCACTTAATTTAGCAATTTTGGTACGGGAGTGCGGACGTTAAAAACAAACTTTGCTGTAAATTGTCACATGCTGCGAATATTGCAGTTGGAGTACGTTATGCTCAACGTGGGGTTAGGGGGGTGAGGGTGAGGGTGGGGGAGAGGGATGGGATGGGGTGGGGTGGGGTGGCTAGAAAGTCAGGTTAATCTAATTGCGGGCACACCAATTTGCATCCTCGTCAAGCAAAAGTAAAAACAGCACAATTTTTCTCAACACAAAAACATCAGGACTTGATTAAAATGCGTACTTTCGGCTTCATTTCCCATATTACGCTGTAATATGCGTGAAAATCAAATTTACACATTTGGGATTAATTGAATTAAAAATTATTATTATTATAACATGAAAAATATGTAGGACATAACTAAAAGTAACAGAATAGCATAGAATATATAGAAAATTATTATAAATCATGAATTTTTATGCCTCAAGAACATTTAATAAATAAATAAATTTTCCCGTGGTAATGTCCTTAAAGCAAAGGAAAGAGACAATTGTTTTGAAGAATTTGAAAAGCTCGTTTAACTACCAAAGGTGATTAAATAAAGGAAAATGTAAATATTTCGTGGGACTTGAACGAAATTCATTTCTTCAATCTCCTTCTTATATAATCTTGCGTCAAAGTGCTCAGTTTTGTATATACCAATCAAGAAAAACTGGAGAACCTATTCACCCATACGGTGAATAATCAACTCCATTGAATTCCTTTGCCCAAACCGGATAAGTGGAGCCACTTGTTGTGAAGCTGGCAAATAGATAAGTCTGTTTAAGTAAAGTTATTTTTGCTAAGTAGTGGCTTTGTCTCAAAGAATTGCGTGTTTTAAAATTTCGCTTTAGCTGTCCTTTGGGAAATCAAACAAAGAAAAGTGTAAATATTAACAACTTCCAAAATGAATTTACCTCTTTATTACATTTTATAAGGACTCAAACTTTTAAGTAGAAATCTGATTTTTGAATCGACATTCTCAGGTTTCAGACTCAGCCCAAATGTGTGATAGTTTTCATCTCTCTGTTAGAAACTTTTTCTTTTGATGAGGAGGAGTTCCAACTGGGTGATTTCACTAATTAAAGTAAGAATCATTACATTAGTGAATTGTGTCCAGTAGGAAAATGAAATTGATGATGATTATTGAAAAGCGAATTGGACAATTATTATTATTTCTTACAAGTTCTCGCTTCCCCAACCCCATGAGCCTAAGTAGTTTTTTACGTGAATAAAAAGCAAGTGTTAATTTATTAAATTAACCAGCACTTTTAATAATTGCTTACTGAAAGGTTATAAAAGGCGCTTCTGCATGAACACATGATGATTAATTTAGAAGACATAATATTTCAAAGAGGGGGTGTGTGATAGACTTACCACCTGGGCAACGTATACTCATACGGCAAGAAAGTCTATAAAACGCCAGTTGACTTCTGACTTCAAACTACCATGACCTCACTCTATGCCATATTCGACCCCTTCTACAGTACTCATTTCACTTTACTCTTTTCTCTACCTTTGTGCCTGTCATTATTATGTCTCCCCCCCCCCCCCCCAAACCATCTACTTTTTGTCACTTTGATATTCCTCCTTCTCCTCTCTGTGTAGCCCGAAGTCAGCTAAAGGACTAATTATAACTATCAAAACGCCTGACATTTGAAATAAGTAAATAAATATTTTAAATAGAATGCTTTTGTCAAGCAAGTGGTTTGGTAGTAAAGCATTAAGTAAGTGTTTAGAGGGCGTTAAACGCTCCTTGATAATAGTAAGTGTTTCACAAAGTTCTTTTGTGTTACACCGAGGTACTTGGGAACTGTCTATTGAAATTGAGACACACTCTATTACAAGTCTCCTCACATCGAATCATTACTTATGTTCAACTCTTTTAATGCATCACTTATCGATTTTTTTTCTCGGTTACCTAGGGTCGCCATGTTTGAACCATCTCCTTATAACACTGCCATGTTTTTGAGCTTTTTACATTTTCTCTTAATGCTATTATACACAAGCAACCTGGCATCCTTCTTGTCGCGTTTTGAACAAGTCTGTAGAAGGAAGGGCGGGATTTTACAAGCTTTTAACACCCTGCAACGCTGGCCTTGAGAAATTAGCAACTTGTCACCATTGCGTTTTGTAATTGCATGGATTTCTGCAAATTGATAAATACTGCGACAACAAGGAGAACTTCGATGAAGAAACCGCTCAGTCAACCAACACAATCAAAAGTTAGAATACCTGAAATGGCAATTTAAGGACTAATCTCTGTGTTACCGTAGCACAGCTACAATGAAAGCATTTTGTTCTTGGGATTTTTGTTAAAGAAAGTTGTTGAGGTTTAGTTAATGTTTATACGGGGTGTGCGATAGACTTACCTCCACGTGGTGCAACCTGGGCAATGTTTACTAATACGGCAAAAAAGTCTATAAACCGGCAGTAGACTTCTGACTTCAAACTACAATCACCCCACTGTATGTCATATTCCACAACTTCCACAGTACTCACCTCACCTCTGTCCCTACCTTTGTGTCTGTCTGTCTCTTCTACATCTGTGAATCACTCTTTTGCTCATCCTTTCGAAGTTTTCTCACTTTGATGTTCCTCCCTCTGTGAAGCCCGAAGTCAGCTAAATGGCGAATGATAACTATTCAAAACGCCTGCCATTTGAAATAGTTAATGTTCATACCATATACAGTATATATATATATA